AGTCACTGTGCAATGCAATGTACCGCAGTCGTCGTGCACGGCTCTGTGTCCCCACAGTCACTGTGCAATGCAATGCACCTCCAGCGTGTGCAGTGATCTCCTGCCCCCACAGTCACTGTGCAATGCACCCGCAGCGTGTGCCGGGATCTGTGCCCTCTACAATCACCCCGTGCAAAGTAATGCCCCAAAATGTGCCACCACCCTCTGTGGACACCAAGCTTGTTCTCTCTGCACAAAACCCTCGCCTTAAAATCTGTTACGAATATGACAAATCTTTCCTGACCATGCACTTGACATACAGAGATCACTATATGCTAACAGTCAACACGCAGCCAGCTCACGAGCAAAGGGGCTGCAGGCTCTAGAGGGTTATAAAGACATTTTCTTTGATGCAGTGAGGACCCTCCTGGAACAGGGCTCAGCTTCCCCCACAAGCTTTGTTAGGGGGAGTTCTGCCCGCCATCCCCTGCAAAGTTGATGCTCAATCCTCGTTCTTTGTAGCGCAGCTCTCCCTCACTTTGCATAATGCATGACCAGTCATTACCAGTGGCTACTTTCCTGCTCAGCCCCGCCTCCAGTTTAGCTCTTTTACCTCTTCCCGTGGCTCACAGTACTACGGAGCCCGGATAGCTCAGTCGGCAGAGCATCAGACTTTTAATCTGAGGGTCCAGGGTTCAAGTCCCTGTTCGGGCGAATCCTGCGTTTTCGTTTTTTTCTTCTTCCCCTTTCGTTTATTTTTCAGTCTCTTTTTTCTCTCTGCCTTCGCCTGTTTTGTTTCTCCTGCAACAGCCGCTGCAAAGCCCACGACCCTGTTAGATTCCCACTTTGGCCGACGCTTTCCGCACGGGGAGCGCCAGGCTCGTGCCCGGATTTGACATAGGTGCCTGCTCTTTAAAAAGACATCGGGCTTTTAAAAAAGTTGGGTTTCTACTTTGTAACGCTGCTTCCACTGTATTGAATGGCCCCGTGATGCAAAAGCTTTTGCGCCCGAACAGGGACTTGAACCCTGGACCCTCAGATTAAAAGTCTGATGCTCTACCGACTGAGCTATCCGGGCGCTCTTGAGAGAAGGGCTTTTCCTGCACTATACATGGTGCTTTGCAAACTCCGCTCTGGCTTTCTAGTTCTAATTTGCACCAGTCCTTCCAGGCATTCCACCCTGTCTGGAACTGATGGCATGATGGGGATCTAAATTTGCACCGTGCTGGGACTATGAAAATTGGTGCTTACTATTAATTAATATTATTATGGCAATTCTAGCCTCTTCTGCATGTTCATGCACATTGAAAATAAGTGGGACTAGGCACATAGGAATTACCATCTCAGTTCAGGGGCTGTCTAGCTCAGTTTTCCATCTTCAACAGTGGCCAGCACCAACTGCCCTAGAAGAAGGGGTAAGAAATCTTGCAGTGGCAGATGTAGGATAATCCCAGGAAAAGATCTCCCTAATCCTTTATGAAGATCAGTTTAAACCCTGAAACGTGAGGTTTTTAATCTCTATCAGAAGTCTTTGTCTACTTTAACTTTTATAGCCGGCCATTCTTGTCATCTGTATAACCTGTCCCCTTTTGTTAATTTCCTGAGGCACTGCTCCCCACCCACCCCAGTCCTTGGTGCCTGACCCTGGGAGCCTTGGGGATGAGAAGTGCTATATAATTGTAAGGCATCAATATACCGCTGATGATGATACATATCTTCGTAACAAAGCCTTGCAAATTGCTCTTATAGCCCCTGGCCCCCTAAAATCTTCCCATGTTTAAAACAATGAAAATATAACACGTAGGGATTTCCATCTTCAGTGCGCTGAACAGATGCTGATGAATCCTTTGACTCACAACATTTAAGTCACATCTTTACATACAAATAAATCAATATTGAACAATGCTGAATAATATTTTTAAACTAGGCACAGCACAAGCACAACATGGGCAGAGGCAAGCCAAGTTTCTTCTAGCTTTACCCCAGACTGGGAGAGGTTCCCTGGGATGAAATGGGAGATCCGCCTCCTAATCCAGCAAGAGGTTCTATTTAAAGAGAAGGGATGGGGCCTAGCAGCTAAGCAAGGGGAGTTTGTTTTTCATGTGATTAAATCATGAAGCATCAGTAAATGCAGGGAGAGCTGGCCAGTTTGAATGCCATTGGGTTTGGAGTGTCTCAGATTAGGAGACAGGGCTATTATGAGGTGCCTTTGCTTGGAATCCAATCAAGTGAGTCATGGACATTTAGTATCATCGGGGTTATACTGATTGTGACGGGTTGGATCACAGAAACCCCCTTGGGAGCTGCCAAATGATGTGCCAAGACTACCCCTATTCCTGTTTTCCCTGCCAGCTCAGGACTCCAGCACCCTGTCTTGCTGAGCCAGACTCTCCCGTCTGCTCCAACAAAGACCCAGGGTCTGAATTACTTGCCCCAAAGCTGCAGGTTTACCTGAAAGCAGCTCACAGAAGTGTGCTTGTCTTTAGCACTCAGATGCCCAACTCCCAATGGGGTCTAAACCCAAATAAATCCGTTTTACCCTGTATAGAGCTTATGCATCTTGTATGTCTCCAGGAAGACTTCTTATGTGGATTGGAGCATTCCAAGATGCATTGTTCTCCAAGTGCTTCCTGATCAGGTACTTAACCTGGCGAATTCCTTCCTAAAGAAGCTGACCAAATGCCTCCCAAAGCTTACTTAGAAACCAAGCAAGTATACAGCCCATATTCTTAACCTCACGTAGAAAATGATATATGTGTACAAATAGATCTAGTAGACCATAACCTTTACAGAGATATGTTACATGGCCCAGGCAGCACAAAACATATTCCAGTTATGTCATATTCCCCTAAAGCCTTATGGGAGGTACTGTCACACTGATGCTTTGTATTTATACAACACTTTTCCTCTCCAAAGCTCCCAGGATCAGGAATCCAGGACTGGGGTGGGAGGTGAGCTGTGCATCAGGAAATTAACAAAAGGGGACATGGTATGTGGATGACAGGAATATTAGCTAGAATAATTCTCCTTTGTTTTTGGCTGGCCTCCTCCAGGCCAAATAGGGCTATCATGGGAAGCCTGGCAGAAGGAATGGAATCAAGCAAAGGAAAAATTAGACTGAATATGTGAAAGAGGAGATCTGTTACCCGGAAGCATAATTTCCCCAAGGGTAGGAGTGGAAGCCACATCATTTGGGATATTTCAAACTATTCTGGATAAAGTGCTAGGAAATAAACTGCAGGAAACCATCCCACCCTGGGGAAGGGATGGGTAACTAGACCATTTCTAATGGTTCTGGTGTCTCCAGCATCTCTGGCCTCAGCAGTGAGAATACTGACCTAGGGAGCTTTAACAGTACCATGCTATAATTAATCAGCTTCAGTGCGGTGTAGTGGGAGGGCTAAAGTCAGGCACAGAGTAAGTGCTACTCTTCCAACATTTGCATTTCTTTCCTCCAGTGCAACGGTTATCTTTCTCCATTGGGGGGCAGATTTTACCAGCACATTTTTTGGATTATTAGCTGCAATGGAAGTAAACACCTTTTATTTAAAAAGTCACTAAGGCAAAGACTTGATGTGCAAACCTTAATGTTGGGTGCAAGGTCCTGGGTATAAAATTATGACGTTCACTGTGGGCTTCTACGATTTCGTTTTCTCCCACACCTTTTAGAACTGTCTGTAAATTGCCTTTGTGAGGAAAAACTCTGCTGCATGGCTGGTTAGTTCATGAAAGATTCTTTGTTATGTTAAGAATCCGTAATTATTGTTAATCCCCAGAGTGCTGTAGGTTTAACATGGTGTTTGACCAAGTGTTTAAAAAGACAAGGGGACAGATTTCCAAAAGGGCTCCGCAGCTCCCACTGAGAACAACAGGGTACTGTGCCCTTTTCAGAATCTTCCCGTTTAGATGCCCAATTGGGAGCTGTAGTCTTTGGAGAATCTGGTCCCACTTTTGGGTGCTGAGTAGTTTTGAAAAACTGAGCCAAGGTTCCAACAATTTTATAGCCTAACTAGGAGAGTGGCCCACGTTTTAAAAGTA